ACAATTGAATTTATTCTTATAATTGTTTTAATAGCTTTTGTATAATCTTCATCGCTATTATGAGATATAAAATGTATTTATCAAATCTGTAATCATTATGCCAAAAAATCTGAATTACTGTAATATTTTGTATATTGTTAAAACTGTAACTTTAATTGTAAAAAAAAATTTTAATTAAAAAAATATCCAGAACAAGAAAAGGAAAAAAGAAGAAATACCCAAGCTACCCAAACTCACCTCCATTCACTCTGGCCTCATTTCTTTCTTTCATAAGGAAAAAAATTCACATTGTGAAGTTGAATTGATGATCTAAGCATCTTAGAGAATATTTTATATAATTGTTATTTATTCCCCTGAATGTCTTAATAGTTCAAACACAATCAAATATTACATTTACCATCCTATTCATATGTGTAAAGGTCAGTATAAAGTAGCATAGATGGACACTGGACAGATAAATGGCAAGAAGACTCTGACCCCTCCTTCTTCTGCATCTGATAACTCTATGATCAGATGATGGAGTAATCCAGGGGAAGGAGTCATGAAGCGAAGCTTGAATGTGCCTAGGGATAGAAGTAGAGCTGAGAGTCTTTTATTCCCACTGTACCTGGCAGAAATATCAGAACTACATTCTGGTAATGGTTCTGTGACCAATTGCTCCTAACCCAAACAAGTAATCTAGAGTACCACCAGGCTAAGCAGACAAACTACAGGGTGAATGCTTCAAGGACAATTGAACAAAGGAATATAATGGGTCCTGGAGCAGCTGGTCCTGGGTTCATAAGAAGAAGCATTCTTTATAACTCCTGAAGATAATATGTTACTGACTTTGGTCCCTGCATAGATAATTAAACCTTCAATAGCTAGAGTAATTTAACAGCCTTCCCTAATGCTTTGTTAGATAACTGTAGGCAGGTGGAATTTGGTAGGAATGACTTTTACAATATGGACATACTCTGCACAAATGATTTTCACCCAACCTTGAAAATAAAAAGTTTCTGTTTGTAATATAATCAAGCTCCTTGAGCCATGTGTTCCTCTTGTGACCTGCTCATATGGACTTAATCCCTTAGGACCTGTCATTATTCTCCACTCAATATAGTATATAAATGTGTGTATGCATGTTTTACAAACGTGTATGTATGTTTCAAAACATCCAAAGTATTGTGAACAGTTCTTTTCACACTGTAAACAATGAGAAATTGAGAACTACCTGTTTATAGTTGTGCCAGTGATATTCTAGGTCTGGGATCAAAATGCAACATTCTCCTATTAAAAGGGTGATTCTCATGTTTCGTGGTGTAGCTATTGTTTCAATAAAAAAATGAGCAAAACCCTTGCTAAGAAACAGTTTCAAGAGAATTCTGAAGGAT